CCGCCCTTCCTGTCAGGGTGAGGGGCAGGCGACGCCATATAGCCTCAGCAGCTGAGTGCGTCGTAAAGCCCCAATGACACACACACACACACACGCGTGATAAGCGTGTTGAAATCCTGCTATTCCACTGGCCATGCGGCGTTCAAGGCTCAACAACGTTTCATTGTTGAGTCGTCCGTATGTGGCGTTGTTGAGCACGATTACCAGTTATAAAGGCCGTCCATTCGTTCTCAACTAATGTGTAAGCTATGCAATGTTCTAATGCGCATCACGTTTTGTGCTACGTCAAATAAGAAACTATTGAAGATACTGAAGCAAGTATCATATATGATGAAATAAGATCACTTTCAACGTTTGGTGTGCTTTCAAGTGGAAGAGACTGTTTTATACAACACTTTTCCGCGTTTAGTAAACACTGTTCCCCAATATCGTCATTATTTGACTAAGTCATCGTGCCTTGCACAGGATTGATTGAGAGTCAGTTGACGGATATTATTTCTGGAAATCGTGCTGACAAACGCCAGATATGAAAAAATCGGCAGTTATACTTTTATGGATGCTTGAGTGACCGTGAGATAGTTTCCCGAAATAGTCCGCACATCTTCGCGGTCGTGTAGCTCGGAAACTAGGAGGGTTGAGGTCTAAAGAAGGGGCAGGCGGTAAGCTGCATCGAATGATCCTCAAGATGGCTGTTTCAGTTCAAAATCTCTTACAATTGTGGAACACACTCTTGAATAGCGATATAGCCGAGTATATGAATACAAGTAAGGCTCCTAAACTCACGGACATATATACAAAAGCAACACGAGAAAGGGCCAAAGTACGAGCACATAAGGGTACTTAGCGCAGCGAACACTTCTAGCCTGTGGTACCTTCTCAGTGGAGATTAAAGAACTATAAGTGAGTTCTGTCATACAAACGCTCGATGACGCAATCAAGCAATGGCGTATTGAGCAGCATATTTCCTAAATCGAGAACTTCTGTTGTCTGTAGCAGCCTTTTACTTAGTTATATGCAAATGGTGATAAGTAAACCTGTTGTATATATAATGCTTTCTTTAATCTCTTCACAGCCCTACCCTTCCCTTTGGGAAGGGTAGGGCTGTGAAGTGCACCGAATGGTCTTAAAATGCCTCAGTTCAAAACTCCGTACAAAGGTGGAATATTGCCTTCATTGTTACTTACAGTCTTGGCGAGCTGATCATATAGTGGTTTCTTGCTTGATTTTGTTGGACGTTTCAAAAGTAGAATTGTAGGGACTGCTCCGCTGTTGTATTCGATATTGAGCCGAGAGTGATTCGAAGATCATTCAATGCAATTCACAGCTATGTCCTGTGGAAGAGCTCAAAGCCTCTTACTTCTGAGCCTGAACACAATCAAACTTGTGCAAACTTCCAGTGCAGTTTATTTGAAGGTCACCCATACCTGCATTAGGTCATAGAAACCTCACGCCAATACCGCCGGCGCAATGGCCATGTAGTGATCGAGATCAATAAAAGTATGATCATCAAGTTATTGGTGTCTGGCGTACGTCTGCACGACCCGTGGCATTACTGGACAACAGGTGTCCTTAAATCAATGTAATACGCTGAGTGCAAAGTTCAAAACACGAGTCACGTTTTGTGCCACATAATACAGTGATTTTGGCAGTGGTGCTAATTTTATTGCGGCGGAAATGCAAATAAAATATAAAGCAATGGGCATATGTACAAAAGCACGACGAGAAAAGGCCAACACGCCCACACGATATTCGGATTCAGCAGGCACCAGCCAGTTCACAAGCCACCTCTTGACAACCTGCAGCACTACACGAGTGAGTCAGACCGCCCGCTACTGTGGCAGTTCTGCCACGGCCAATCTGGCAGCAACTGTGGCGACATAAAGACGTTATTTGACCTTATCAAGCGATGGCGATGTGAGGAGCATATCTTTTATGGGATATTTATAGGAGCATAATATTTAGGGGTGTTTAATGACAGATGACACTCAAAAGCACACCAATAGCTGCAAGCAGTCTTTTCTCGTTATATCTACTCATTATATCTGATAACTGCCCCAATATCTTCAAATGTGGAACATCCCCTGTAAGACTTAAAATCTTCTCTGTTTCTGGCTGCACGTGAATTTGCGCGGGCTTTCATGTGCCGTTTGGGGAAGGGGAAGTCGACCAAGCACATATGGCATGCATATTTTATGACATTGAAATGTCATGCGACCATTCCACCTCGTGGGATTGCTTTGTTCATGGTCAAGATAGGTACGGTCACTTAAACATTCGTGTTTACGATGATGCGGCGCAACATGTCCGAACGATAGCAGGTAATTGGCTAAAAGGGAAGGGTTTTGCTGCTGATTGCATGTCTTGATGAACGATGTTTCGCCATGAATGACACAGGTAATTAGGTAACTATTGGATGTGACGGACTTGAGGCTGGGAGTCGAATGATTTAGGGATGGCAACGCAGCCGAAAATGAAAGCAAGGAAGATGCCATCACACGAAAATATACAAGAGAAGTATGAGAAAGGGTTAAAAACACACGCACATACGCTCGTTCATTGAGTTTCACAGACATACATCCTGGAAAGGGTCCAGAATTTCTTCAATGGAGAGACCGCGCTCCATTATGGTGCCCCCTGAAAAGATCTGTATTTATTCCCTCGCAAAAAGCCTCCGGATTTCGGCTAACTACTTTCACTCGGATTTATATAAATTTCCACTCCGATTTTTCTCAACTCTTTGGCTCAAATATAAAAATAAAGGTACCATGCGATGCAATTTATCATGTGTTTAGAACCCAACAAAATTAAATTAAGTAGGAATAAATTAGGTGTCTACCCGTGCCCCCCTCCCACGTGCGTCCCTGATGGTGACCCTTGGAATTTGGTCCCTCATGGAAGTCGTGGTTTTGTTGTAATTTTAGGTGCCCCCCTAGAGTCTGCCGTCTTTCTAAATTGAAGTTTTGAGCCCTCTGGGGCGCCGCTCCTCCCCCCCCCCCTCCCGATAATTGGGCGCCTCTTGAATATAAAGGAAGTCACGCCCCGAAATGAAGCTTTTTGGTGCCCCTTGCCGGAAGGGTGGATCCAAAATTTCTTAAGTGTGGAAGACAGAGAAACTGTGATGTCCCTGGATATTGGTACCCCTTGCAGTGAAAGCTTCAGCCTCTTTCAATCATCCGTTTGAATTTGGTGCCTGTAGGAAATAAGTGTTGCGGTGTCCGGAAACGACGGCTGGTGCTTGTCGCTGAATGAGCCGATACATGATCTCATCCATGAAGGTGTACGGGCAGTGCGGCGTCGTTGGCTATTTGTGGCTTGAAAATGAAGGTTTTGGGGCTCTTTGTGGTGCCCCTAAATTAAAGGGCTATGTTGCCCTGAAATGAAGGTTTTGGTGTTCTTTGCGGAACGGGCGGATCCAGAACTTCGTCACAGGGAAAGGCAGAGGAATTGTGGCGCTCCTGGGCGTTGATCGCCGTTAAAAATGAGTGTTGACCCTTTACATGGTTGGCTCTGATATGCTGCCTCTTGAAAATCAGGATTATGCTGCCCCGCAATGAAGGTGTTTGTACCCTTTGAAACGAAGGTCGAGGTGCCCTTTCATCATAACATTTCGATGCCTCTTCTGGGCACTTTAGCCTCGAACAATAACAAAAAAAAAACAGTCATCGCTGGCAGGGAATCCACGATCCACCGCCCACTCATACGATCTGCGAGTTGAGACGGTCCCCTGCGTCCGCCGCCGCACCGTTTCACACGTTTTTGCCCTTTCCGGGCCGGCGGTGGACGCCCGGCGCGGCAACGCCACTTAGTCAACCGTCTGCTGCATGCGCCCGCTGGAAGATTTTAAGCGAATGGTTTGGTTTGAAAAAAGAAATGCTTCGAAAATCTGTGCTACCTGCTGCTCGCTGCAATTTTGTAAACCGTTACTTCTGAAATAGGTACTGAGTTGCTCGTTGAAGTGAACTCATAAAAGCTTGGAATGATGCGATCTCTTTTACGTAGCATTAAAATTCTGATTTCATGATCGCGAGGACAGTTCAGTGTATAGTGTTTTGGGTCTTCATATGAATGACCACACAAGCAAGATGGACTAGGTGTTGTTGGATTTTGAATTTAGAATATGTGAGCATTAAGGTCTGACGTTCCCAATCTCGGCGTAATATTTAGGATGCTACCAAACCTGGATTCAAGGTTGTGATACATTGGAGGCGCAGCCACACCGCAGCGCTGGTACATTTCCCATTTGAAGGAACGAGAGGATTGAGGGATCACACTGCAGACGGAAATGGGTTCCATCCTTTCGTGGTTGATGGAATATAGAAGCTTTGGTATACTTGGGCTCTGTTGAGTGATATTGTGAGTGTCATTGCATTGCGTAGCGGACGTCCTGTGGCAAGTGCTCGTGTGTCAGGTAGAAGTGAAGTGACACTTGTTGGCAGTTGGTGTTAGTTGTGGTTGAGAGTGTGGAACAGCGTCAGTTTATGTGTTCCTTCGTGTTTTGAGAATGTTCCTCCCTAAATCGTTCAGCAGTGTGCGGATGTGTGTTCTGCAGAATGCGCCGGTGATAAGTCTTGCTGCTCTGTGCTGTAATCTGTCAAGTCTAAGGGAGTCGCTGGTTGTCAAAGGCCGTCGTATACTACGCTGATTTTGGAGGTGGTGTCATCAGCGTGTTGCTGAAAGTGCAAGTCAGTAGATACCGCCCGGCCCAGGTGTTTGTGGCTTGTAACCGAAGGGATTCGTTGGCCATCAAGGGCCGGCTGCGGTGGGTTATGTGTTTTTCTGTGAAGAAGTCCGTGTGGCATCTTCGTGAACGCTTCTGCGTCAGCCGTGTAGTTTTGGCATTGCGGTCGTGATTCCCGCGTGGGTCACGGATGGGTGCTAGCCACTGCACTCTGGTCCGCTCTTGTTGCGTATACTGGCCGTAGCGATCGAACACTGCTCTCCAGAGGGTCCGTGAGCTCTAATGACCACTGCTTCTGTTAATGCGACACCCGCTCGCGCAGAGGCAACCAAATCTGCAAGCTCAACTGGGCCGATTTTGCGCAACGGGTACCGTTCTACTGGACTGATGACCATCCCAATGTCTGCCCGCTCTGTAAGAAGAAGCTCAGTTGTCGCTTCTCCCTCTCCAGACACTACATTGATGTTCATCACAGGTGAGGATATGGTTGGCGTAAACGGCAACATTTGCTGCTCGTAACTTATGTCATCAGCCATGTTGTCACCGTGTTAGTCGTTTAAGTCACTACTGTTGTCGCTGTTTTTTGAGAAGACTTGAAGCGTGCTGTTGGTGATGGCTACTCGCTGAAATCTTTTGTTGAATCATAAATTTTGGGAGGGAGCGAAAGTGATAGCTTTTTAGAAGTTATCACAATCTGATGGGAAATACACGACAAAGAATGACGGCATTACTTACCACTGAACATGGCTTAAAAGGCGCAAATAGACCGTTCAAAGCATTTAATAAGTTGCTTGACTTCACGTTCAAAGCACTGAATAGTTACTTGACTTCAAGTACAGCCATGGGTCAGAAACATTAGTGCAATGGTAGATAAGCGGCCAGCTTTTAATTGTTGTTTTTCCATTGAAGGACTCCAACCGAGGCCAAGGCCTAAGCTGATTATTCGCAACATTAATATTTTCACCTAGCGTTCCACTTAGCGTTCTTCACCCAAATTGAATATATCTGGTACGTCGGGGTCGAAGCTCATGCGTTTTAAACGCATAAGCTTAGTTTAAGGTGAACGCAAGAGCGTTTAAGTTAGTACATTTATGTGAAGCGTTATCGCAGTCGTCTTTATAACGTTTTGAACGGAACAACGAAATACTTTCTGTATTCCCTCCAACGATTATCAGTGTGGCAAGTTGAACACAAAGTAATGAAACAAATAAATTGGCCGTAGGCGATAAAGCAAAAGCAAGTCAGAACAGAACCACAACTTCTTTATGGCGCTAAGCAAAGAGCCTAATTTTTCTGTATGAAAGAATGCTGCTTAAATCCCTGTTTCAACCGTGATGGCTGGTCATGGGGAAGAACTCGGCAATACCCGCATTGTTGTCTAATTATCAGCACGCAGCCCAGCGAAGTACGAGTACAGTCAAATTTAAACTCTGAAGGGTGCCTGCCCTTCATTGTAAATGGTGCATTTCCCTATGTAATTGTATTACATGGATCAGGTGAACCGGCATAGTTTCCCTTTTCGCAGGGAAGAGAAAAGGCTGCCGCCACCGGCACCGTGTCGCTTCTGCTCCAAAGTTCTATACAACCAGTCTACTCTCAACCGACACATCCAGACAGTACACAAGGGCGAGCAGCGCGTGTCGGCCGACAGCGGGTCGGCCGGCGGCGGCGACGGCTCGCTGGAGACGTGTGCCGCCGCTCCCTCCTTTTTCTGCCCGCTCTGCCAAGAACTGCACGCGCACTGGGCGGATGTGGTGCGACACATGCAGCTGCTGCAGCCGCCGAGCGATGAGACGGCCGAGTCACCGCACGTCAACGGCGCCGGTGAGCGTGACTGCTGCCGACCTTTCTCTCCTATCGCCGGACACTGTACAGGCGCAGGGTGCTCTGCTGACTCTGAGCACATGCTGCCCGAGAGCGCAGCATGCTCTGCTGACTCTGAGTACATGCTGCCCGAGAGCGCAGCATGCTCTGCTGACTCTGAGCACACGCTGCCCGAGAGCGCAGCATTGACAACTGCAGCAGTCGTAAGATACGGAAAGGCGGCTTCCAATGGCGCCTGCTATGGCTTGTCGCACCATTAACAATTTCTGTACGTCGGCCTGGCGCCTGCGCCACTGCTGCAGAAGCCACACGTGGCGGGGTTATCTGGCGCCTGCGCCGGTGCTACAGAGGCCACACGTGGCGGGGTTATCTGGCGCCTGCGCCACTGCTGCGGAAGCCACACGTGGCGGGGTTGTCTGGCGCCTGCGCCGGTGCTACAGAGGCCACACGTGGCGGGGTTGTCTGGCGCCTGCGCGGTTGCTGCAGAATCCACTTGCGGCGGGGTTATCTGGCGTGGTCCGTTCTGTACAGCCGCCTGGGCTGAATCTTTTGGTACTAGAGAGCGTCGCCCAGCTGTCGTGCGCGTGGGACGCGTGTGCGCCGCCGTCAGCCGCCGCTGATGTGTGACGGTGTGTTGGCACAGGCCGGCAGCAGCAGCGGAGGCCGGCGTCGGAGCCGCGGCCGCTCGCCACAGCCGCGGTCACCGCCGCCCACAGCGTAAGCAGATGGTCCTGATGGAGCTGTGGGAAAGCCCGCTAGGTGGTGGGGCACGGTGACCTTGTGAAACGTGTGGGTTGGTGGCCTACACGGTGCATCGCTTGGGAGGGATAGTCCGCTCCCGGCAGCCGTCGAGAGGACTACAGACTGAAGGGCCCACGTGGCCAAAACGTCTTCATGACGGCAGCCGGTTCTTACCAGGCTCACCTTCTCTCCACGTCACGCAGGTCATCAACCCCTGTAATCATGATGTTCCAGAACGGCTCTCGTAGAGTTGCGGATACGCGCATCAAGGACGGAATAGTCGTTGGAGGTCTTTTCGTTTGTCGTCAGCAATGGTCTGAGTGAAACGCAATGCGCACGAATTATGGCGCTCCATGTGCCCTGCTCCACAATGCTCCTGAGCTCTGCCCGCCGGCCCCGAGCAGACGGCTGGGCCTCACCAAGTGGCCCTCGGGCAGAGCCGGACCACCGCGCAAGGAAGAAGGCGTGGCTGGTGCCAGCCACAACATAACGTATGGCGTAGTACGAGCGGGATGGCGGTTCTCTGGTTAGCGATAGATTGCTATATGGTTTCATAACATGAATTCGTGGCATAATCGTATCATGTTCGGTTTTCAGGCGAATGCTCCCTTTTTCTGCACTGTCTGTAACAAGCCGTACACGGACCAGGGCCGTCTGATAGCCCACCTGTCTGGCCACATGCGACAAAAACACACAGGTATGGGCTCGAAGACGGCACCGCTACGACAACAGTCACAAATTGGCGGATGACATGGAGAATCGGCGCCCCTGCGTCGTAACCTGGGTGGAAGCCTTTCAGGGATCCAGTGATGCTCTATCTAGCGGCGTGCAGGGATCCAGTGATGCTCTATCTAGCGGCGTGCGGTTTTCACCGCAATAAGAGCGACAGTGAACAGGTGCAATGGCTTTGAATATTTTTATATGTGTTATTGTAAGGCTATGTCGGGAGTGTATCCGTCGTGCTGCAATAATCGGAAGACCGGCAACTGTGTTTTCACAATCATCGTTGAATCAGTAACTCAATCTTACATTTGTTATTTTTTGTATGCTGGATCATGCGAGCTTGCGCGGGGCAGCGCAAGATGGCGCAGTGACAGTCAAAAAGTAACGTTTTTATCTCAAATAAGGAATCCGTTATCCACTTTTGGCGATGTGAATAACCAGGTGCACCGTAGTTATCAATGAAGATGGTCCAAGAAATCGAAACCTTTTTCGTGAAAACATGTATGAAGGAGTTCGATGAAGACGGACGTTCAAGACCATCGGAAGAGGGATGAAGATCAGTTGATACTATCAAGGAAGTTGAGCCAGGAAATCTGGACCTTTTTGTACAAACATAAAAGGAGAAGACCGAATTTGCATTGCTTTATGCCTTAACCGTGAAGTGGCTTTTCATCGCTTTGGTTGATCTCTGTAAGAAATCACCATCGAAATAAATTGTATTCAATTCACGGCTTGCACAAAGCCTTGCGCAACTCTTTTCCCTGATGTGCAATGATGATTTTGTCCATATTTTTGAATCGTGCTCGTATCGTTAAAACAAGGTTTTTCATTCCGTCTGCACGTACTGTCGGGTCTGGTCGTAAATCCTTCGGCGTGTGATTTCGTGTCTGGTCGTAAACTCTTCGGCGAGTGCTTTACAAAGACATGACCTAAAACCACACCTATAACATTCTAAGGCAGACCCAAGAGTCTGTATTAAATTTTTTGTGAAATAAAAACCAGCTGAAAACTATGCACTCAACAATGTTATGCTTTTTCTTGGCCCATGCGACTGGCACATATGATAATTCAGTTGTTTATGTGAGGACACATAGGCTAAGGGGTGAGCACCCCAATTTTTATTAACGGGTTAGGGACTGGAAAGCCAGTTGCAAAATAACAAAATGTGGCGCCATCAAGAACGCATGTGGTGTTTCCAATATGGCGTAATGTGAAGCACAAATTACAAAGACATTGCGTTATAAATCGTTCGGCACCTTCCTGTGTACCTACCACAGCTGGAATATTTGTTACAGCCTTTGGATGTCAGCGTCACTCTGTTTTTGAGACAGGTGACTGCCTACAACGTTCTCTTGATGTGTGTTTGGATCAACTTTTTGCCAATGCTTGATCGTTTTGTTAACGCTGAACAATGCCACCGAGGCGATTCGGAAAGGAAGGATATTTTTGTTGGAGGCTTGTGCCGAGCCATGCAGCATTATCACGCAGCTGTTCGTGCGAGGGGCCTGCTCTCTTTGTCGAGGAAATGCCTCGAACCCATTGAGTCTACCACTTGGCGTGTGCCGGGATTTACGCGCTAATCACCATACCGCGGAGACGATGTAAACAATGTGCTGCTCAGTTTCTGTTTGTTTTGCCCTTCAGCACGACGTTGTACGGTGGTGCTGGTAGTGCGGGCCGGCCGCCTGGGCCTGGCGGCTGAGCGTCGGCCGTCTGTTGCAGACCCGCTGCCCTCCGGCCGGTGCCCGCTGTGTGGGCTGGCTGTGCCACAACTGGTCAGTCACATCCGGGACGCGCACTGTCGCAGCTGCGGCCGCTGCGGCCTCATCCTGCCCGAGGCCCTGATGGAGCGCCACCGTACAGCTCACGACCTCAAGGTGAGTCACAGCGCGGCCTCGTCGCACTGGTCCCCTTGAAAGCTCCCAAACGCAGCTAGACAAACATTAGGGCTCTTAACGAGCCGCCACAAGCCGAACCTAGCACCTGCTGCGTGGCAAACAAAACACACGTGAATAGGGTGGGCGTCACAACGGCAGATGTCTGCGTACCCCCGCACGTTGGATGCTGGGTCCTGGCGCGAGGGCCCAAACCCAGACTGTACGATTAAGGGTCCTGTCCACGGGACCCTGGATGTTAATGGCCAGCGACGCCGACGCTCGAGGCGAGGCCTGGGACCCGCACAAACCCGAGGACGCTTGGCGGGGACATGGGGAAGTGGGCAACAGACGTCTGCCCCGTGGTCATCAACAATGACAGTTTCAGAGGCTAGGAAACCGATCAGCCCGAGCCAGGCCTGCTTCCGCTGAGGAAGGTCCGTTGTCAAGTAGCTGACCTGAGTCGTGCAGCAGGTATTCGACGCCTTTGGGCGACCGAAGTCACAACACGCTTCACTGGTTCTGCTTTATTTCATGTTCGCCTAGGTATGGCGAGACGGCGTCACAGTGAAGATGGCCAAGGCCGGCACACCAAACATTCTATGACAGATGTAGACCAAATTTCATGATTGAATGGATTTCTGGATCAGCGTCCACACTAAGCGTGAGTAGTGCTTGTTGTGCGAGCCCTGGCCTGACTGCCCGATCGTGAAATTCCAGATCATCCGCAGAATTCTGTGATGAAAGCTTAACGTGCCTTACGCTCCGCACAGTTTGTTCTGCCCTCGGAGGTTAGCACGCTCGTGAGCCTCGTCCTGCCTACCTGACACAAAGCGCGGCTGCTGCCGCCGGCCGCGAGTCATCCCAGTCAGTGACGTGCAAAGAAAACGAGGTTAGGGAGAGACAGAGAGGTTCCAATAGTCAAGCTGTTAACGAAGATAAGATGCATCGGAAAGCGATGAATACTGGATTCAAATCCCCAGGAGACCACCGATTCACGCCAATAATTTCGGTGATGAGACGGCATCGTGCAAAGTCGCTAGAGTACGCGGAGGCGCGCGCAGAGCAATACGGCACAGGACCCAGCCGCGCATGCATCCAGCAGAATACACACGGGCTCGCGAAATGCTCTAAAACACATTTCGATGATGATGACTGCCCGCAAGATATCATACTGCACGGGTGTTCTGAACGTCTGTCTAGTTTGAGAAAACAAAGCGTTCATTTTTAGTGGAAAATTAGTACCGTCGAGCCGCGGCAACGGGTCATGCTGAGGGGCAGTTGGTAGTCTGCCAGCTGCTAGGCTCGCCGTTAGCTGCTCTGGGATATGTACAGAGCTATCCGCCGGCGCTGCCACACTCAGTCTGCTAGCTCACCACACAGTCACAGCTTTAATATGCACTCGTTCCCATCAGCGGAAGGCGGCCGTCGCTTCGGCTCACGAATATTTCTTGTCGCGAGAGGTGACATGCTGCTCCGGCTGGTGGGGGTATTCTGCGTGAGATGTGACTCCTCGCGAGTGGTGACATGCTGCTCCGGCTGGTGGGGGTATTCTGCATGAGATGTGACTCCTCGCGAGACGGTGACATGCTGCTCCGGGTGCCGGGGGTATTCTGCATGATATGTGACTCCTTCCGTGATGGCGTCTTGCTACTGCCCCCAGATGGCGTTCTGGTGTCCCGTGTGTGGTCAGCGTGAGGACCAGCGCCAGCGGATGATGCACCACATCGGCGAGCAGCACGAGTACATCGCCGAGGGCTCCCAGTTCCAGTGCGGCTCATGCGGCCACGTGCGCTCACATAACCTCATCACCCACTGCCTGAAGCACGCACACGACGATGCCCTCACGGCCTACTGGTTCAAACCGGATGGTGAGTGTGGGAATACCGCCAGCAGACGTGCTGGCGAGACCTACTGGTTCAAACCGGATGGTGAGTGTGGGAATACCGCTAGCAGACGTGCTGGCGAGACCTACTGGTTCAAACCGGATGGTGAGTGTGCGAATACCGCCAGCAGACGTGCTGGCGAGACCTACTGGTTCAAGCCGGATGGTGAGTGTGCGAATACCGCCAGCAGACGTGCTGGCGAGACCTACTGGTTCAAACCGGATGGTGAGTGTGGGAATACCGCCAGCAGACGTGCTGGCGAGACCTACTGGTTCAAACCGGATGGTGAGTGTGGGAATACCGCCAGCAGACGTGCTGGCGAGACCTACTGGTTCAAACCGGATGGTGAGTGTGCGAATACCGCCAGCAGACGTGCTGGCGAGACCTACTGGCTCAAACCGGATGGTGAGTGTGCGAATACCGCCAGCAGACGTGCTGGCGAGACTGGCGGTGCCACTCATGCTGCTTTTTAAAAAATAATTTCCAGTCAAAAAACCCAATGAAAAGAATTTGGATCTAAAAATGGTCGGACTGAAAAAAGTCTAACGACGAAAAGCCCACAGGGATTAAACTCGACAGAAATAAAAATGGAACCGTAAGGACAACATGTCAAAAGAGATCAAAGTCGACAGGATTTAAAGTGAAATAGAATCGTCAAAGACAAAAAGGGGCTATGGTATAACTTTATCCCTGCCGACACTCATTGGAAGGGCCAAAGACCAAAATGCAAGGCGGCGAGGAGTGTCGCTAGCCGACAGGGTTAGAATCCAAATAGAAAAGAAAAATGGCAAAGAACGAATGTCCTGACTTGACCCTTGCCTTGATTCACCGTTTTTCATAACGCGGGCTGATGGCGGGGATCGATGCGACCCCCTCCCCATGGCGTTTTCAAAGTAATCAAGATAGAGCTTAGCTGAAAAAAAGACTAGTGGCTTGTTCTTAACGAGATCTCGAGATTGGTACTAGTTTTGATGCTTTTTGGCCAATAATTGACCCTATTTTGCGAGGTCAAGGTGAAAGTTTCCAGAAAATAGAATTTTTCAGTCATGTCGTACATACGAGACCATGCCTCGTGGCAGCACAAAACCTGGACAGGCGTGCTCCGTGTTTAATTCCAAGTACAATGGTGTACGTTTACATGTGCTGAGGGCATGCATTACGATATACGGCTCCGTTAATGTAACAGTGCCGGGCCGCCGCGCGCGTGCCGAGGCATCGACCGTTGCCCCTCGCTGCCCGCGCCTGTCGTAGATCGCCGCGCAGCGTTCCTCAGAGCCGTCGCTGCTTGGAAATCAGAAAGGTAGGAAAACGTTTTTGGTGGAAAAACACGTCCAGTGGATGCTCCATAGGCTGCTGGATATTTGGCGACGATTGCACAAAATTCCAGAGAGGTATCCTAAAAAAATGAAATGCTGTCGCATCACCTCTCCCCACTAGCAAGGCGAGGGTTGACGATTGATACACCCAAGCGGAAATTTGACGCGTGGTATCGAGGCTCCAAACAGGCGATCACTTACGCAGATGTCGAATCCGACGCTCCGAAGGCATTTTCTGATCCATGGGCCGTCAATTTAGAAATGCCTCAGCCCTGGTTCACCCTCCCCCCCCCCCTAAGCCGTATCACGACACTACGGTCTTATCCAAAGAGGCCATTGTGCTGCCTTTGCAGCAAACACCTTCTGTGTCTGCGTCCGAACTTATTTCATTTGTGTTAACCTCTGCGGCAACGTGCTTTGTTATCACGACTCAGTGACACGGCCCTGTCAGAGAAGTGTATGGCTCCATGAAGATATTCCTGCTATCCTGTCTGACGTAAAAGGGCACAGGCAGAATTAAACATGCAGATGGAATCGCATTAGGTGGTGGCGTCATGTATTCAAAACAGGAAGCTCTGTTCAATACGTCCATGTCCTCCTAGCCAAAGTCATCCAGGCAAGCCAGCTCGATGGCGTTACTGTAGCTGAAGCTCCAAGTTACCCCGTGGTCACTATTATCAACGGAGTTGTTCACCTCCTTTTCGTTCGCTCCCAATTGTATTCTCCTTGTCGATCTGAGCAAGAGGCGTCATTATTGACGCAGAGTTGTCGTTATTGACGTGGTCCGCGCCTGTTTTGATCACTGATGCTCAGGACCCATGTGTGATTTCTGGCTTCACCTTTATCTCGAGCCAGATATGCGCACGTGGGTCCCGGTGGCCACTTGGCTTATTGTAGCCATGTGCATTTTATGTTTCCACAAGAATTTTCATATCACCACATGTTTTGTAGCGTCCCTGACAATGTGTGGTTGTGCAGTGTTTTCATAGGACCACATGCTATGTAGTGTCACTAACAGCGTGTGGTTGTGCAGTGTTTTCAAATGGCCACGTGTTTTGTAGCGTTCCTGACAACGCGTGGTTGTGCAGTGTTGTCGTCGCTGGAGCGGCGCGGTCTGGAAGCCGGCCGGCTGCTGAGCGCTGCCGGCGGCGACGCCGCCCTGCACTGGCTGTCTGTGGCGGCGACCGAGCCGACCGCCGCCGTCAGCGTACAGCTGCTGCAGCCCTCTGACGGCGTGCCGGGCGCCGGTCTGGACTCGGCGGCGCTGCTCTGCGCCGCGCTCTGTCCTGTGTGCGCCGGCCCGGCGCCCTCGGGCCGTCAGCTGGGCCTGCACCTGCAGCGGCACGGCGAGCTGCCTCTGCTCTTCTGTCCCGACTGCCCGCGCACCTTCTGTCGGCCAGCGCCGGCACGTCAGCACCGCTGCCCGCGCCTGCTCTGCCTGCTCTGCGGTCTGCAGGTGCCGCCGGCCCAGGTGGCCGAGCACTGGGCGCTGCACGCCGGCAGTGACCCTGTCTGCGAGCTGCTGGCGCCGCCTGCAGCGGACCCGCCGCCCGGACGGCGAGTGGAGCCGCAGGTGATCGGCGAGGGCGCCGGGCACACGCCGCAGGCACCATGCGACGACGCAGACTCCGACTCGGCACCAGAAGGGAAGGAGGTGGCTCCAGGCGAGGCCAGGAGCTCGCAGAAACTGAACGTCTCCGACGCAGACTGCGCAAACAGTCATTTAGCTGAGTGTCCGGAGGAGATGTCGGAAGAAAATGGTGCTGCCTGTGGTTTCAAATTTTCATCCTCGGACCGCCATGTCAGGAACAATGGAGTCTGCGCGAGGAACGGTGCGGTCAGCCACGAACGCCGTGGCTACGCTGACCGACGCGGCGCCGACCAGCGCTGTCTGAGTGGTACGTTGACGCCAAAGGACACCTGCAATGGAGACTCGTGTCCGAAAATTCGGGAGAAATGTGTCATCGTTGACGTGTCCAGCCGGAGCAAAGACACTGAATGTGATGCTAGTGCCCGGCGTCAGGCACCGCCGCGTAAGTGCCGTCGTTTGAACATGCGCGCGTCTAGTCCTTGCAGTGCGGACGGTCGTGACTCTGGCCAGTCCTCGTCATCATCCACATGCTGTCAGGAGGTGGATGCCGAGACACTGGCGTGCGAGCTCTGTGGGCGGGTGCTGCGCTCCGTCTCGCAGCTGCGCCGTCACCGACGCTACCGGCACGGCGAGTGGCGCGGTCCACTACACTGCGCTCGCTGCTCGCGCCGCTTCTTCTTGGCTGTGCACCTGCGCGTGCACACGTGCGCCGGCGGCTGGGCAGGACCTGCTGCTCCGCCGCCCGGCTGCCAGCGGTGCGGCGCCGAGCCTGCCGCCGGCCGGGAGACGGCGCTGCTGTCGGGCGCCGGCCGTCGGCTGCGGCTGACTGTGTGCGCTCGCTGCCACTGCCCTCTGGCCGAGCCGGGTGGCGCCGCTGCCGCTCCGGCCGATCGGTGCGCTGTGCAGGCAGCGCCGCCGGCGGCCGGTGCCGCCACCTGCGCTGATTGCGACACGCCGCTAGCGGCTGGCGCCGTCGCCCTGCTGCAGCCGGAGGGCGCCGGCGAGACGCCCAGTCCGGCAGCGGTGGCGCTCTGCGTGCCGTGTGCTGAGCAGCGGCTCTCGGCCGAGCCGTGGCTGTCGGCGCGGCTCTGCGGCCCGAGGCCACGCTCGGTGCCCTCTGGTGCCCTTCGTGCTGTCAGCCGCAGGTGTCGCTCCATCAGCTGCGGCTGCACAGTCTGCGCCAGCACGCTGACGTCCTCTAGTCACAGCCTGCGCCAGCTTGCTGGTGTCCTCTAGTCACAGCCTGCGCCAGTCTTCTAGTCACAGCCTGCGTCAGCTTGCTGGTATCCTCTAGTCGACGGCGCGCGCCTAGCGTTTGGTGGGGCTGCTTGCGCTCTTGGTTATTGTGCAACAGATGATTTAATGTGACTGGTGCAGCAGCCATTTCTGTGCACACGAAGTTGCCACATAGTACGAAAAGCATCGTGGGACGGTGACATTCTGATAGGATGGCGCTTTAAAACTCATGTGAAACTGTGCAGTATGTAGTGTGTTGCGTCGTAGAAGTTAGGAGGCGTCTTTGTTGAGAACCCATCACGCAGCTTTTGCATGTCGGCGCGTAGGATGTGTCATTGTTTTTAGCGATGTAGCGCGAATTGTTTCAATATCGATTGATTCCACACCCACAAATTTGTGATCGGAAACATAAGCGCCAACAGAAAAGTGTGTGATTACGGTTTTAGCAACATAGTGCGTCGTGGTGCTTGCTAAAATGCCTAACAACAGTGGTCAGTTGCGTGAAAAACGGCTCGTATTTTTCAGTAAAGTTCTCGTATAATCTGTGTCTCAAATTATTATGGCATCACGTATTCCATAACAAAACATGAATCCTTAAAAAAGAGTGGGCCTATCACAACGGCCGAACAACTGAACCCAAAACAGGGCCTCAGCCTGTAAAGGTGGCTTTTTTGAACCAGTGAACAGGCCTCTTTAACGCAAAATTGTCCACTGATCCTGAGCATTCGTGAAGGTGCCCGCATGATCCAGAAAAACGGATCTCTTGATGTAGAAAATGGTCTTCTTTATCACTGTCTAGCTCAGCTATGGGGGCCTCTTTGATATTAATACTGGTAATCTATGCGTATCTATAGTGCCTTTATTTGGGGAAAACGTGGCCTCCCGTTTTTTCTTGAGTGGTGGAGCAGAAACGTACTTTTGCCCCCGGCTTGCTGGCAGGGGGGGGGGCGAGTAGCACTTTGCCCCCCCCCCCCGCCCTTCCTGCCATGCTGTGCTTGCCCCAAAATGGTAATTGGTGACTTGCGAGATCTTCAGAATATTGAACGAGGATCCAGCCAGCTGAATCATAAGTCGGCTTCATTGTTATCGCCATTGCACCACTGCAATCAGCTGATCTGCGACGCCAAGCACTGCCGTTTAATCAACTTGAAAGCCCGACGTTGTGGCGAACATACGTGTATTGACGGCCTCTCCAAAGCACACCGAAGCGTGCGAAGCACTATGCACCAATGAGGCCGACACATGTGGTGCCGGCCTGACGTGACCTCGCGTGTACCCGCGCGGCGTACCGCTGACTAGCTAGCACACCTCGCCCCGTCTCGGGTCCGCCATCGCCCCGGGCGGGGTACGACACCCACGCGACCGGACAGCCCGGCGACAGTGCGGCCCGGTGGCCACGCGACTCACGCCGTTCAGTTGACCGTCGGCCACGGCACAGGTACTCTCACAGGTATGCTAGCCGCCATCAGGTACTGATGTGGTCTAGTTTCGTTCAATCGAGCGATGAGTGTTAGACGCTAGTCGATCTGTCCTGGAATTCCCTATTTGCCGAGCAGGCAGAGGTCACATTCTCTCCGTGAGTGACGTCTTCTGAGGAACGGGTCAAGGCGGACCCATTTATCCCGTCTGAGCGATTGGATCATCCCAATGAACGAGTTATTAAGGGCTGTCATGACGTAACCGGTCACACGTTTACATCGGCCAGTGGCGCCGGTCTTTCATTGTTACACGGGTCCTGAACGCACGTGTGGCGATATGCCAATCTCACGCAACTTGTTTTCAAAGACGAAATCATCAGCATATGCAATTCACAGGCGTGTCTGCGCCCATGAGATATCACTGCGTATGCAGGCAACAGCGTAGGATGCACGCCTATTCAGGGGAGCTCCAATCTGTTCTCAAGTGCGACATTTGTCGGCAGAAGCGTACAAGACGTCGTCTTCTTCACTGTTGGGCGTCAGCCGTCTCCAGACGCGGACTCTGCCTGACTCGTGTTTCCCGCTCCTCTAGCTGGAGCATGCGCGGAAGTGTGCGTTACACCCCGGACCGTTCGTGGACAGTTGAGTGCCGACCTCTTCGGAGTACTCTCGCAGGGAGGTCAAACAGTGCCATGCAAAGAGGAAATCAGAGAAGGTCATGCTGTTGACAACCTTTAACACCACGTGCATGTTGGTGACGTTGCACGGGTGACTTTTCAACTGCAGGATCCATACGCGCAGCACGGGCGAGACTATCATGGCGACCCGCCAGACCTGGTTTGCCACCGTCACTGCCGCCAGAATAGTGTACCAGGACCGCAGCACTGCATACGGCCTCTCGTTGAAGATGTTCACCGGCAGGATGCATATATAGAGTCCAATGTTTGCGTGGTACCGGACACGCCGAAGAAGCGGAATGTGTATTTGGTCTGCTTCGGCAAAGTGTACTTGGACGGGTCAATGGCCAGTGGATGAACAGCCTCCGGACATTCAGGATTATACTGAATCAGCTTGGTGCCAAGGGTGAAGAAGTTGCCACCAAGGAAGTTGTTCACTAGTGCGATGTTCATCATCACGTTGGTTGAGTTGATGCCCTAGCAAAATACGTATTGGTAGGCGTACCAACGGCTGCTGCCCTTGCTGTCCAACAGGTAACGTATCACCTTCGCCTGTCGTTCCCGGCGTTTCTTTTCCCCCAGCCCTGTTTCCACAATGTTGTCGACTAGGCTACGAATGCGGTGGTCCTCGAACATCTTCCATATCCAGTGCGGTATGTCGATGCTGACGCCCTGCAGGAACAGCACGATCGGCACCCACTGGTGTAGGTGATGTTGACGTTCTCGTCCTGCTCCTCGCGAGCTGCCCCGATCCCGATCACAGGCAGCTGGTCGTCCTGGAGGTCAAGCCGGTACCGAGGTCGTCTCTGGGGGTCAGCCGGTACCGAGGTCGTCTCCTGGGGGTCAGGCCGGTACCGAGGTCGTCTCCTGGGGGTCAGGCCGGTACCGAGGTCGTCTCCTGGAGGGTCAGGCCGGTACCGAGGTCGTCTCCTGGGGGTCAGGCCGGTACCGAGGTGGGGGAAGGGGAGGCTTCGTGGCGGCTGGGCTCCATCACTTTACACCATATTGAATGTCTCATTACCAAATGGATACACGGCCGTTCAATGCCAAGTCAAAGCTGCAGGAAATCGTAGGACACGGAATCCGAGGGGAGAGATCATGAGAGCATATGAGAAAGCATGGTCATCGATGCTGGAATTTTTTAGGTACTTTGCCCCTTTAAATGTGACCTCGTGAAAAGGTACAAGATGACACCAGATTGTCAGTAAGATGTCAAATATGATGGTACCATGCATACTGTTCTCTTTAAGGTAGCGTTCCACATTTGTTTGGGATTTTGAACTGAAATAGCCATCTTGGAGACTATTCGGTGCAGTTCACAGCCCTTCCTTCTTAAGACCTAAACCCCTTTAGTTTCTGAGCTACATGCCTGCAAAGATGGAGAGACTCAGTCGGGGAGGTTATTTCAAGGTCGCCCAGGTATCCATAACGTCATAATGAAGTAATGCAAATTCTGCCATTCCATAAGCCCTGGAGCGATCAAGGCCAACAAATATGTGATTGTGGATTTGTTTATATATTCTAATCAAACAATGACGTATTGAACATATTTACTTACCGAAAAATGGTGTCCGGCGTGGTCGTTTCTAAATGACGTATACCAGTGGTCATAAGTGAGCTTATTTCATCATATTTGTTGGGTGTTTCAATGTCTTCGAATGTGGGACATCCCTTTAAAGGAAACGTTCCCAATTTGAACACAATGAAGCAAACATTAGATAAGATGAATAAGCTCGCTTGTCACTGTTGGTATTCTTTAAGTGGAACATGCCGCTCCAGACAACACAGTTTTCTAGTTAGTTAATATGCTCTTCAATACGTCGCTGTTTAATTACGTCATCCCACCTTGCACAACATTTATTAGGAGCCAGTTGAGCCCATTATATATGGAAATCATGTTCGCGAACGCCAGATATGAACGACTCGACAATTTTATTTTTCTAGGCCTTACCGCATGGCCAACAGAATGGCAGGATTAGAATGACGTTATTATCTCGTCATGGATACATGGATGATCTTGAAATAGTTCCCCGGAAAAAGTTTGCACATATCCGTGGGCGTACAGCACGGAAACCAGAGGGGTTTAGGTCTTAAGAAGGGCAGGGGTGTAAACTCTGCCGAATGATCTTCAAGATGGTTATGTCAGTTCAAATCCCCATACAAATGTGGAACGGTGCCTTTACACACAAAGCTTTTCTGTGGAAAGATGGTCTGAGGGCTTTGAAACAGCACTGCCCATGTTGACTTTAAAATGCGATGGTACCCGAGATATATAGGCACCTGACTTTACAGCAGCATGACTGTCGTATATGATTATTGCCTTTCTGTCTCTTTACCATTCGCTTTTTCTGGCTTTGCCTACGCCTCTGTCTCCCGGATGTGATAAACGCAGGACTCTTAGTCTGACTCACTTGCTTTTACGCACCGAGCTGGTTGTTGCTTCCGAAATCTTTGTCATATATGAAGGTACCCGAGATCCAGCAGTAGGTCTCCATCGCCTTTTGGAGGCGTTTTGATGAAGCTCCCGCGCAGGCAGTTGCTTGGCTGTGTAAAATACGAACTTGGTTAATGCCCTGCTCACAACTTTGCCACATAACTGCTACTTGAATTCAGTGACTTAGTCAACTGTGAAATAGTTGCCGCTGTGATAAATTGGAACTTGGAACCATAAGTAAAGTGAACATGATCATCCAGGCAACTGTGTTAACGGCTTTATCATACCGAAGAATGGCGCAGTTCAATCGGAGAGTTTACTGTGACATGTCATTTTCCAAATGGGTGGCGCTGGTAAGGGGCCAAGGCGTCAAATCTCCTGTTACGACCCTGTTTGGAATTATCATGACTCCTTGCTTGTTTGCTGTTGACCGTTGAATTGTTTTCTTATCTGACTTTTATCCCTGCCGAC